AGATGTTTTGCTTGTTGGCGAAAAACCCGCACGCGTCCCGAGTTTTGTGTATCTGGTATGAAACACTCCGCGTTACATAGCAGAGACAATTCAGACTTTTTATTGTTCAGTGGTCTACCTGGACGAATACTCGGTTTTCTGAAAGACGCCGTTCGGCCACATGTGTGACCCTTTTATTTGGATGCAGTCCAGAATACTGTAAATGAACACGATTCTGCTATTGCCATTGTGCTACCAAAACATAATCAAAAGACAGATGACGAAAAAAGGGAACGGTGATAACTCAAGCACTTTCGCTGTAAAAGACATGGGGAGTAAATGATGGTTGGCTAATTGTAGCTTTTCACAATATTCCAGCAAAAATACTTATCACAATAATAAGTGACACGATCACGGCACTTACTTATCTAGAGCATCAGCGGAGTTCGGTTGACCACCTGATAAATATCGGTGCACTATAAAATAGTAATGCTATCGCTAACGATAGGAGGGCAAGTGTAATTCAACGACGATAATTAGCCCAGTTTTCATTCATATCTGCGTCTCCAGAGAGGGGAAACGCTAGAATGATTCTGTCAAGACTAAATAATACCTCCTTGCAATGATCTATACAAGAAAAATTCAGCAGTTGTCATGTTTTTATTCGCCAATTGCACCAAAATAAAAGCAGTAACAGAAAAATATACTTTCTTCAGTGCAGCCAGAAGATTTGTCGGTGATTTTTGCTCGCAAAAAAAAGGAAGAAAAAACATACGCACGGTGATATCCCGCGCGTTCTGCTTTCTGCCGTCGTCTCGGCCTCAAGAGGAACCCACAATAAACGTGCCCTCTAGCGGTAGCCGGACGCGTGAGGCGACACTCGCAAGTTTTGCTGAGGAGCACGTTGATTGCGACGGCCGGAGAGAACCATGCCGCGCGCCCGCAATCTCGAAGGCCATGGTAGTACACTCTTTATGAGCCTGTTTGGCGTCACGTAGCACGTGAACTTACTACGAGTGGGCAGCTGACCAATAGTCACTCGTATACAACGTAAAGGTACCAATCTGCCAGTACGAGACCGTCATTAATGAATAAGGGAAAGAAGTGTATGCAAAAGGGCTCGTTTTTTTTCGTGTTTGACACAATATTAATAAAATCTAATAGACAATAATGCCAAGGAATGTATAGGGAAAGTTATTAGATCAAATTGTAATGTAAATGTTAAGAAAAAAAAGTGGGTGAAAAGATAATTTGCCGTGGGCAGGAACCAAACCTGCGACCCTCGAATGACGCGTTCGATGTCCCTACCAACCGAGGTACCACGGTGGCCATACCCCCAACCATTTATTGAGTATATATTTTTGAGCAATTTCTATGGTGGCTCAAGCATTCAAACAGCTATACGTTGAAACTTATTTTCATATTCGTGCATGTGAACATATATGATGCCACTGCCGAATTTCATTATCGTGGCTGGTTCTCTTATAAGGTGTAGCTCCATAAAAGTTGTTGTTTTGGTTAGTAACTCAGTCATGGTGTAAGTATTAGCGCACCTTAGGAATCCCTTGACACACTCACACATTCACATACGCATTCACATGGGATGCGTGGTGTGTTTCTTGAGCGGATGCGAGTCTAAGTGTGTGAGTGGGTCTAGGAAATTCTATGTTGCGCTGAAACTCTTGCAACGTGTTATTTATAAAGGTTTTCACTGATAGCTTACCATGCCATCATATTGGGCAGTTGTTTATGATGCTCTGTATCTTTAACTAAAGAACAGTGAAGTGTACCGTTCTTGTGCGCATACGCATGAATATGCACGGCTTGGTGCGTTCAATGTTTAGTGTTGATTTCACCTCAATGCATAAAAATAATTAACACATATATATTAAAAGAGTTGCCAGACGGTGTTTTCAGGATTTAAACTCAGCACCTCCCCCCCCCACCCCCTCCACTCAATTTGTTTTTCAGTTTTTTTTTTTTTCGTAAGGTCCAAACTGTAGAGGAGGCTTGAATCCTCAACGCTCCGTTGAAAACGTTTTTGTCTACACCCCTATTTGTAGCTAGCATTATCCCATTTTTCTTCATATTAGCAAGACTTGAGCCCTGATTAGTAATTAGTAATAATACTTCCACTTCTAAGACGCCAAATCACGATATTATTACGAGCGTGCCGTAAAGGGTGGCCTTGAAAAATTTATACCCCTTGAGGTTTTTAAACTGCGTCTACATATATATATGGTGCTCCAAGATTTTGCCTGAATCAAAATGTGACCGCGATTTCATCCCACGACCTACGCGTTAGCAGTAGAGAACGAAATTATTGAACCGCTGTGACCTAATACTTCACTGCTTCACATTCCCGTGATCTAAATGGAGTCACACACGTTATCAATCTTTCTTTTTTCTAAGATCCACGTAGCAGCAATTTTGCGTGATCATGCATCTCTCTGTGTGATTGTGCTTTCTCAATTGATGTTATGGTATTTCTAAAAATATGAGAGGCTTTTTTTTTGTGATCTTGCTATTACTGAGTTCCGCTTTGCGTGCGGGATCCTGAGATCTCAATTCCGCCTGTAACTAAGAAGCCTTCTTTTGGTTCTACTCTCAACGCACGTTGCACAGTCTCTTCAGATGATCTTTAAATCGGTATGGGTTCGAGCTTCTTGGTATGGATTCATGGGGGCGGAACAGCGTCGAAAAAACGAGGACACAAAAAAGCCATCCATATCCTTTGTTTTCCTGCAAAACAGGAGTGGTATACGAGATTCCGATGTCGTATGGAGGCTTGTACACCCGTCAGACAAACCGGTGTGTTAATAACCGCCTTCAAGAACACGCCAGCACTCTTGGAACGCAGAAAGGAAGAAATTTGGCAAATTTTTGCGCTAGGAACAGATGTAGCCCCTGTTTCCAGCAGGCGCGCACCACTCGCAGATATCGAAATTCCCGAGCTCGAGAAATCTATGAAGCCTTCCAAATGCGTGATGTAGGGTCAGCATTTGCCAGTGCACCCTCTATGAAATAACAGACATGCAGATTAGCTATGTGCACTACTAAGTAGGTGCGATGTAGAGGGTAGAGGCAATGCACCTTTTCAATACCCCTCCCATTCATATCACGCGAGGAAGAGTACTCATTTGTGCTGGCACAAATAAACGCATTTGCTGGTAGTTCAGTGCTTAGTCTTGTGAGTTTCTTTCTGCGCTATTGTTTCTATCGCGCTGTTAAACACCGATATCTCCAAATGTTCCACTACTGAGGCATTAAAACTCCTCACATAAATAACACGAGTAAATAATAAGGCACACAGTACATAGAAATGACGAAAATTTTTCTGCTTTACATTAAATGACTTCGTTATATTTAGCCACAAGGACGTTTCTGGGAAGTTTTTTGAAAAATTATTTTACTATCGAAAATAGCAGCAATAAGAAAACTCAACTGCATCAGTTAGACACATTGAAGTTTGGTGGCTTTGTCAGATCCATTGTGAGGCCAGCGTTCTTTTTTTGGTGTTGGAAACTGGAATACGTGTTTTAATTCTTGACAGCTACCCTTTGTTGTCATATCAAATACAAAACACCGCGTACACACTTCATAACTGCTACACAGTGTTCATCTGTACATAGGTAAATTCTGCTGCACTACGTGTTACTCCTGTTCGGCGCTGAAGTATTTATCGCCTGCTATCAGTGACCACAGTTGCTTGAGAGTGTACGTATAATCAGTTGACCAGCTTCAGTAGGCATGACTTACGTACTGCTACTTTTAAACTCCATCTTTGTGGGTGAATTACCACAAATGTCGTCAATTCCCAGTCGCACTTTTCACAAGAAAATAATTATAGGAAACGTTACATAGTATATAGACATAATACGTCTCATAATGGCCACGTGGGACTTACTTTCAAAGGCAACGCTCTCTTTAGTTTTCTTCTCAGATTCATTTGACGGCATAAAAGAAAGCTTCTACGTTCTCATGACACGACTACCAGCAAAGGACCTTATGTAAACCCCGCAAACTTACCATCCGTGCAGTGCCAATAAGCAGCTCTTCTGTTCAGCATAATGCAGCATGCCTACATAAACCTGCACATCACGTAACATAGCGTGTCGGCACGTATCATAGTGCAGCAGCTCATTTGACTCACTCTACATTCCACAGTTCGTTACAATGTGTGTGTGCAGATTATTGTTGCTTATTTCCTCAGTATCAGATCGGGCCACTCTCTGCGTATGTGCCACAGAGGCACAGAGTACTGATACCTCTTAAAGTTATTTGCTGGAGCCTAGCAGTGGATAGGGGGTTAACATATTTGAGATTAGAACAATTAAATTGCAAGAATAATACTATTACGCAAAATCTCACTCATTTTACCATGCAAGTTATAAAACTGCAGGTATTGACATAAGAGTTACAGAATCCACGTAGGCTCTTCGCTAAAGGGTACGTTTTATATCGTCTCCAGTTACATAGTTTTATCGTCATAATATTGTGTGAAACCCTGTCTATGGCATGACAAAAAGAAATCAAGGCTTTGTGCCCTAGTAAATTTTCTTTATGGTCTGCTTTCATAGCATGCGTCATTGCTTACAAAGATTCGCATTGCCCAGTGAATACAATCTATCATCACCACTCTTAGATGCTAAAAAGGGGGGATCTCTTTATCGTTGTTCTGCACATGGGTGTTAACACAATCTCCGTCCCTCAACTTCCTATCTTGTGTTAACTTTGCATCGCCAAAGGCAAGCGACACGAAAGAGATGTTTACTGAAGCTTAAGAAATATAAATTATTTAGCAAAGAAGTCAGTCGCGTTTGGTCCTTTGGGGAGAGGCTTTGGTCTTCCAAACAGTTATCTTTTTGTTGTAACCTCATAATGTATATGTAGCTTCCTAATTACATCTTTTGAAGTTTGAACATTTTCTTTTCTATTAGCCGTGAAACGGAGCTCTACTTCAAGAAGAACGTCTGTTCTTTTTCTAAGTTAGAGAGGTACAGGACACTACGCACAACGTATTCAAAGGTGCAATGACTTTTTATTACAAAATCCAGAAACGGTAGGTTGGAAATGATACTCATGGACATGGATGAAGTGATATCCGTCTGCAACAAAAAAAAACAAGAATATCAGACAAAACGCAAAAGTTTTCATGGATTATCAATGGGCACTTGAATGACCTGCGCTTTTCAGATGAAGTTCGAACTCAAAAACTAAACGTATCTTCTCCGTCCAATTGAAATTCTGCGACGATTGTTTTTAAGTGAGCCAAAGTGCCGTCATTCATAGACAATGACGTGCGAATTACAGCTGAGCCAAAAGGTGGCCAAACCTGATGCTTATTGCATTCAGTGTGGTAATCTCTCGTTTCTGGAAGATTGCACTGAAGGCCGCTGGTTCGTCGTGGCATTGGAGGAGCTCGTGTTTGTTTTCAGTAGGTTGCCAAAAAACGTAGACTACCTCAATCTACGTCTCGGTACACGCATGCTTGGAACATTTCTAATGTGTGCGTACGCGCGCGCGCGTGCGTGCGTGCGTGCGTGCGTGCGTGCGTGCGTGCGTGCGTGCGTGCGTGTGTGTGTGTGTGTGTGTGTGTGTGTGTGTGTGTGTGTGTGTGTGTGTGTGTGTGTGTGTGTGTGTGTGTGTGTGTGTGTGTGTGTGTGTGTGTGTGTGTGTGTGTGTGTGTGTGTGTGTGTGTGTGTGTGTGTGTGTGTGTGTGTGTGTGTGTGTGTGTGTGTCACAGAATATACGAGCAAAAGGTTGTACTATGTGCCCTTGCCAACTAAAGCTCGTGTGCATTGTCGAATAAGAACACCGCTATGCGCACAACACGCGGAAAAAATTATCAGGTAGCTCTTTCACCAAACGCCGTTCATCAAAACAAACAAATCAATAATCAAAAAGTTATTTACAATGCTACCTAAAAGAAAGTTTGTGAGGACCACGCGCAGTAAATTAAAATGTGTCATTATCTAAATGAAATCCTTCGAAGATTCCTTTGCACGTGATCATTGCGTGAGTAATGTGTGAAAAGTGCTTCATAGAAGCTAGAAGCGTCCGTAGTCATCACTTAATTTACAACGTTCAAATGTGAACTTACTGTGGAGAAGAGTTGTCTCGCTCAGCCGTAGAATCCTCTGCCGTAGCCGAAACCACGTCCATAGCCGCCGTAGAAGCCGCGGCCGTACCCTCCATAGAATCCACGACCGTAGCCGAAACCATGTCCAACGCCGAAGCCTCGGCCGTAGCCGAAACCACGGCCGTATCCGAAACCACGGCCATACCCGAAACCACGGCCGTATCCAAACTGAGCCGAGGCTATGCAGAAGACAGCCGCCAAGAGCAGGGCAGCGATGAGGACGTTCCTCAGCATTGTGGCTTGTATTTAATCGCTGAAAAGAGGGCGCGCAAAAGTCCTGTACGTGAACCTACAGCACTGCAACGCTGTACCACAGGTCAAGGAGAGCCACCTGAATTTGAGGTACCTGAATAATTACAACGTTACCTGTGCGTCTTCGTGATCTCGGCCAATCATAAGCAAACGAGCGAGTAATGCAGATGTATTAATTATTTTGCACAGCCTTACATTAATTCTGTCGTCTAGACAGAGCGCACGACGATTGCGGTGACCAAATCCTACTTGTAGCAGTGGCATCCACCACTACAGCAAACGCCCAGTTACTCATTCAGTCCGTCCTTGTAGCGTAGTGGTTACGATGCTCGGCTGTTCACATGCAGGTCACGGTTTCGATTCGCGGTGGTCGCAATTCGGTGGTGGCCAAATGGCCCGTGTGCTGTGCGATGTCAGTGCACGTTAAAGAACACCGGATGGTCACGGCGTTTTCATTATCACATTGTGCTTCTGGAATGGAATACCCAAATATGATTACATACGCTCATTCAAAATGCTGTTCCTGAATTTCAAATAACCACAAGTAGTTAAAATTGTTGTACATACTAGACCTCTGCCGCTGCACCTGTTATAGATCAGTAATGTTGAACGTAGTCTGCTATTAAAATTGTTCGGTTATTAAAACAGATGCTGTATTTTGCGTGCCACTAATGAAGAAATTTCATGGAACAGTGTGCTATTTCATTTGCTATTTGTTGGAGGAAAGATAAAAGATAAACATTGTGTGAATAGAAAGCACCATTGAAATTGGACAACCTACGACGTAGCATGTGAATAGGCATTTGTCATTTTTTGGTTTGTCACTGAAGAAATAATAATACTATCCTTATTGGACTTGGTGGCACCGACCAGGGACCGATGCTTATTCCTGCTCTTTTCGATGTGCAGATTGCGCTATGGCCTAAAGGCCTCTCTACCGGGCTGGTCACGCATCTGCACACAAATGGAACTACGCCAGTAATCGCCGATGACACAACAACAGGGAACGAATCTGCGCAAGCGCCTGCGATCTTCTACGCACCTCTACAGCGCAGCTACCACGCCACGGACGAGATCTCGTCGACGCAAGCAGGCGCCCAACAGTATAAAAGCCTGGCTCATGACACGAGACACTTCAGTGGACTTGGTGGCACCGACCAGGGACCGATGCTTATTCCTGCTCTTTTCGTTGTGCAGGTTAGTAACAATTACTCGGTAACCTCATTAATAGACGATGATGTAACCCTGATGGTGCTGCCAAGTCCACGCTTTCTTGTTGCCCTGATTGCTGATTGCTATGATGTGTGTAAGCTGCTGTTACTAACATCGGGTGATGTTGAGCTAAATCCCGGTCCGAATTCTGATTCGGAATCGGACACCCGTCCCAACAATGACATTTTAAAACAAATACTCAAAGAACAAACTAAAACAAATGAAACGTTAAAGGAAGTAGTGGCTAATTTGAAAAAGGTTGAACGAACTGTGGATAATATGGAAACCAGGCTCACTAAAATCGAAATTGATATGGAACGACTTAAACACTGCGAAGAAAAATTGGCCGAGTATGAAAGTAAGCACGCCACCATGAAAGATGAAATTGGAAGTCTTGCACTTAAACTGGATGATTTAGAAAACAGAAGCCGACGTAATAACTTGATTATCTATGGTGTAACGGAAGAGTCTGACGAAGATGCTATCTTACTGGAAAAGAAAGTAAAAGATGACATTCTGAAACAAACACTCGGTATCGAAGTAAAGACCATCGAAAGGATTCATAGAATAGGCAACCATAGAACCAGCCAGGGAAGGCCAATCATCCTACGTCTCTTCGACTACAGTGAAAAAAACAAAATCTTATCTTGCTGTTATAAACTCAAGGGTACGCCCTTATCCGTCTCCGAAGATTTTTCCAAAAGAGTAAGGGATATGCGCGCGCACTTATGGCACTCTGCGGCAAACGAAAGGGCCAAAGGAGCAAAAGTCAAACTGTCGTTCGATAAACTGAAAGTCAATGATAAAGTTTATACTTGGGACCCAGTAAAGAATGCTAGAACAGATATATCGAAGAAAGCGGGTCCACCACGAAACAACCGACCAACTTCATCTAAGCATAAAACTTCTACAAATAAGAAAAACTCGAACTGACAGCACAGTACTAAAACACTTAGAATCGTTTCCCTCAATGCCAGAAGTGTGCTAAACAAGTTTGATGAACTAGAGAACATAATTTCGTCCTACCAACCTCACGTTCTAATAATAACAGAGACTTGGCTTCACTCCGGAGTACGTGACTCGGAAGTCGTCCCTCCCTCATACAGACTGCTCCGTAAAGATAGAGGGTCAAGAGGCGGGGGCGTAGCGGTAGCAATTAAAAAAAATATCAAATCCTTTGAACTCGATGGCATTCCCGACCACGAAAGCGTCTGGTGCAAAATAACATATTATGATAAAAGTATAATTGTAGGAGGGGTCCAAATGCGGCCTCCAAATGCGGCACCTGACTACATTGAAGTGATTCATGATTATCTTTCAAAGCATACTAACTCTAGGTCAAAAATTATCCTTGCTGGGGATTTTAATCTTCCCGGAATAAATTGGAACAATGGTTCACATGATGGTCGTGACGTTGCTAGCTCAGAATTACTACTGGACGTAGCGTTCGCGTTTTCATTGAATCAACTAGTAACTGATAACACTCGGATCACTGCGACGTCATCGTCTTTACTTGACCTAGCGTTTGTAAGTAGTACATTAGAAGGTTCTTCTGCGTCCATCGAGAATGGCATTTCCGATCACAAATCGGTTACCTTAACCTGCCCTATTTCATGCGCGAAGAAATACAAAAAGCCACTACCTACTTACTTTAAAGATTACGCACGTGCAAATGACCCTGCTGTGCTACGTTTCCTGGAAACACAATTTCATGAATTCATTGAGCTTACAGACGTAAAAGAACTTTGGGCGCATTTTAAAAGCACTGTTAAATATTGCGAAGACACATTCATTCCGAATAAAAAGAAACGCGTCAACCGAGAATACCCTTGGATAACGCGTGAGATAATTCAACTGAAAAGAAAAATAAAACGACGGCAGAAAAAGGGAACCAAAAACAACGTACGTGATCTTATCGGGACATTAAAGCATAAAATGTCAGAAGCAAAAACCCGCTTCTTTAACACTACGTTAGCTTCGTTTATGGCGCACTGTCCCAAAAAATTCTGGCGATACTTATCAGATGAACGAGACTCAATCTCACAAATTAAAAATTCGGAACAAATCATTAAAGATCCCGAACACATTGCTAATGAGATGAACAAGTTTTTTCAGTCAGTTTTCACGAAACATACCAGTAATGCGCTACTACCTCCTTATACTGTGAAAATACCCATGGAAGAATTAATCGTAAATGAGGAGGGCATACTTTCTCTATTACAAAAGCTTGATCAAAAGAAATCTACGGGCCCCGATCTAATCACTAACTCATTTTTAAGCCGATACGCTAATTGGACATCTAAGTATCTCTTTAAAATATACACGTTATCTCTTCAAACTTCACAGATACCAGACGACTGGTGCAATGCTGTAGTAGTTCCTATACATAAATCAGGCCCCAAACTAGAAATAAGCAACTACCGCCCAGTGTCACTTACGAGTTCGTGCTGCAAAATAATGGAACATGTAATTTTCAAGGCCATAATAACTCACCTAGAAACAAACGAACTTCTCTACAAACAACAGCATGGTTTCAGATCAGGCCTCTCAACTATAACCCAATTAGCTGAATTAACTCATGACATAGCCAACGCAATCAACGATAACGTCCAATTAGATGCTATATTTTTAGACTTTTCTAAGGCGTTCGACGTTGTCCCACATCTGGATTTAGTCAAAAAACTAACGGCTTTTGGTATTGATATCAAAATAATATCCTGGATCAACAACTTCTTAACTAAACGGAAACAAAGCGTTAAAATTGACAATCAGCTATCAGAACCACTTGATGTTTATTCTGGTGTACCTCAGGGATCGGTTCTTGCACCTCTGCTATTTTTAATGTTTATTAACGACATCCACTTTTCCGTTGAGAACCCTATTCAGATGCGTCTGTTTGCCGACGACTGTGTCGTGTACACAGTCGTGCGCAATTCAGACGACCAAACTAAACTTAACAATTCACTTCAGGCAATTTATTCCTGGTGCAATACTTGGGGCATGAAATTAAACACATCAAAAACGCATTGCATTTCTTTTACAAATAAGAAATCCCCCCTTAACTATACATATAGGATTGGAAACTCAATTATCGAAAAATGCAATCAAGTAAAATACCTAGGCATTACACTCACGCCGAATCTTAACTGGGAACCACACATCTTGGCCATGTGTCAGAAAGCGGAAAAGAAATTATCTTTCTTGAGAAGAAAACTGCGCAATGCACCACCACATATTAAAATAAATGCCTACAAAACACTAATTAGACCATGTTTAGAGTACGCCGATCTCATCTGGAGTCCACATCAAAAGTATCTGATTAGTAAAATAGAACGAATACAAAAATTGGCAGTAAGGTTCGTATATTCAGAATTCGCGAGGCAGTCCAGTACCGCAGATTTACTCGCAAGGGCAAACTTAAAACAACTTTTTCAACGCAGAATAATGTCACGATTAAAATTCCTTTACCAATTATATCATGGTCATTTCCACATATCACGCTCTCATTATCTGCAAGATCCACTTAAACAATCATTCCGACTAAATCATTCTAAAACAATACGCCAACCTTTAAGTCGTGTAAACGCTCACAAACACTCACTTTTTCCGTCAGCTATCTCCCTCTGGAACAGCCTACCCAACGACATTGTTTGTTGTAGTACGATTGACTCTTTCATCAACCGCATACAGTGTATTGAATTTGCACCATGATTTTTTTTTTTCTCTGGCAATGTATGTATTTCGATGTATCTGTGTACCCACTCCTGCTTGGGCCGTGAAGGGCCTGCAGTATATTCAAATAAAAAAAAAATTAATGATAATTCATGGACACGGGATGCCAATGCAAAACACCAGCGCAAGAATTGACAACCAACCCCAAGGTATAACTGGTACCGTTCCAGTAAATGCGAAGTGTATGGTGACTATTCCCCATAACTGTCGAGGAGCCCAGCCATACTGACTGTAATTACGTCATTACCTAAATGCGTGTGAATTAGACTTAAACTTAGTAGTGCAGTGCCAGCACGTGCTCCCTCGCGCACGTCATTTCCATTAGCTCAAGTAACCTTTCTCGCTTGAAAAGAATATCAATTTCCGACTCCCCCTTCCAATAAGGCTAAGTGTTCGCAGCGTTATGATATGGTGCTTGATGATTGATATGTGGAGCTTAACAACCCAACACTACCATGTGATTATGAGAGACGCCGTAGTGGAGGGCACCAAAAATTTCGACTACCTGGGTTTTTTCAACGTGCACCTAAACCTGAGCAAATCAAAAATGCAGCCGCCGCAGCCGGAATTTGATCCCGCGACCTGCGGGTCAGCAGCCGCGTACCTTATCCACTAGACCACCGCGTCGGCGCTATAATATGGTGCTGAATAGTGGAAGTGTATGGGATAAACAAGTTCATACATGTTACCCCCTCTCCCATAGAGTTGCCTCTAATGAGTTAGCTTTATTAGCATGGTACTATTAAAAGTGGCAGATGTTATTTTCTCTGTGAGAAGACATAAATGAATGTCTGAAAAGACACGTCATTCGCTCAGCTGAACGTTTACTGAAATTGGCACATGATTTGCTTTCGCGTGACTCTTATTCGAATCTTCTTTGAGTGGCCACTTACAATTTACTTCATGCAGGAAATCACGTTCAAGAAACGTTCACGTCTACGAGAGAGACATCGTGCAAGGCAGCAGTGGTAGAAATAGAGAACGTTTCTTCGAGAGAACGTCCTTAAATTTAAGCCCAGATTCCTCCATTAAGCTATCATTATTAGTACCCTTTACTTCCCCCTGTAGTTCTCAGTAGCATTTGTGACAGCCAACAAGTACACATTTTGCAAAGCGTGTCCAATGTTTACGTCTGTAGTTCATACACATCTAGGCTTAAACAAAAACAGGGGCCATAGGCCTTGAAGTGAATATTTCATGCCAACTGTTACGTAGTGAATTATATACCTAAGGACCTCGTTTCAAGCACAAGGTACCCTCTGAAAGGTGACTACAGATTACGTAAAGAAAGTGAACTACCAGTTACTAAAACCTACTTTTCTGACACATTGATGAAAATGACACATTGATTACACAATAATCAAAAAGGCGGCACAGAGCTCAAGGAAGTGCCTTAGAAAGATTCGTGACAGCTCAACACTTTGGAGGACTCTCACTTGTTTAACTATTTCGCAACAGGAAAGAGTAGGGTAAATGTGTGCCTTCAAGCTTTGATGTAAAAATAGACGCCCGGTCAGCCTAACACCTACGAACATTCGCGACCACATCGCTTCTCTGGCATGGATTGCAGTCAGAGATCAAACACCATTATACCAATTGAAGATTTTCGCACAGCCTGCATAGACGAAGGTAATTACTCCAATTTGAGGCTGGCAACGAACCAAGTGTGCGCACCTATTCGTCATGGGGTGACAACTCCCTCAATTAACCTCTACCGCGAAGGGCGCATGTAGCGCTTATTTTAACGCATAAAGCATTTGCTAGTTTTGCCGGAGCGTTTTCTCAGAAGATTTGCCAGAAGCACGCGCCTCCGGACCAAAACAAGAGTCGCACGCGCTCCACATCACGCATACTCACCTGTTGTGAAGCGGAAGGAAATCTTGTTCCGTCGACGGGTGCGTGTCCGTTTGTGTCACCTCCGAGGCTCTTTATATAAGCCACGCACTTCCCCCACTTATGTCACCGACCCATGCCACTGGTTGAGGCACTCGGGGTGCCCCGAAGGGGGTGAGAGTGTACAGCTTTCTCAGTGCGGCGACCTTCCAAATTGTGATCCGGGTCTTCCCCGGGTCTACGGCCTGAATGCTGGATGCGCCACCACTGACACGCGCCAATGACTCCTCCCCTGTGGTGTTGCCGTTTGGCCAGGAACTTTCGCCGTCGTCAAGGCCACCGCCGCTGCTTATTCTATGATTTATTGTTCCACCTCGAGTTGCACCTCACCACCCTCCCCTCGTTCCGGCGGTCAAGGTCCCGCCACAGCCAACGTCCTCCGGTTTCACGGCGAGTTCACCGGAGCGAATACGGCATCGCCTAGCGTTGCGCGCTTGGCCGAATCCCATCGCGCACAAGTGCTGATTGACATGATTTCAGTAAGCGCAGGGGTCGTACGCGTGTAACCTTGTTTTCGTTCCTTCTTTGACTGGGCCACTACATTTACATGCGCCACTCACCTCCCGAGATCGCCGCGCGTGCTGCCGAACGGAGAAGAGAAGTGTTTGTTGAGAAGGAGAGTCCGTTGTCCCCCTACGCCGGCCTCTTAATGCTTCCTCCTTTCCTCGGCTGCCCTAGAAGCAACGCTTGTGGAACGAACGCGCTGCTCACGGCCAGACTGCTTTTAATAGCACGCTGTATTTCAGTAATACTCCGCGTACAAAAGACAGCCTGACGAGGCTGGCTGTCAAGCGTGGCTGTCACAACAAATCCTGGTGCAAATTGTCGCGTCTTTCACGTACGTGTGCCACTCAAGACATCGCTCTGCCTGTTTTTCCCCGCCCCAGCGTGCCTCTCGTTGCGCGCGTATAGTGAAATGCGTGATTTCACTTTCTCTAACGAATCCAACAGCCAGGACAAGACCGTTACACACAGCGGTCGTGACGAAGTGATTAATGTAGTAGCTACGTCTACTTAAGCCACAAGGCTTATTTTGGTGGTACGTGTTTCAAGCCCCTCGCGAGAGGCGGACACTAGGATTCCAGATGGATGGTCTTAATACCAGCATGGTTTAAGACTGTTGAAAAAATATTAAGAACATCTGGGGTTTAACTGGAATCTGGAGAACTTGTGGTGTTTACACAGAGGTCCGCTCATGCTGTTTGAATTTCTACGGTTTTCGCGCAAACTCCTCAGCGTTGCTGGACCGGAAGGTGCAGCTCGTGTTTCACTTCGTAATTGAGATAATCAGGATGAAAAGTGGAAGGGCCTCGGGCAGACTCTTCAAGCATCATTCGTTCGCCAAATTTGTGTTCCACCTGCAGAAGTCACATGGACGCAACGTTCAGCCAAGAACAAAGTGGATGCCTCTAAGGAAGCGACAGCCAATCATCTCTCTTTTTTGTACCTTTTCTGTGCCCTTGCACTTGAAAATAAGCAAGCTTTAAACACCGTACACAATTCCTAATAGAAACTGACGAGGCTTTGCGCCTCATAAGCACGATATAATTATGAAAGGAGCCGTAGAGTAGGGCTTCGAAAAGTCTGACTATGTGGTGTTCTTTAACGTGCACCTAAATTTACGTGCATTGGCCTTAGGCATTTCGCCTGTTTATAATGCGGCCACCAAGACTGAAATTCTATCCTGTGACCGACGGGTCAGCATTCAAGTATCATAACGACTAGACCACCATGGCTTAGAGCAAACAAATTCAGGACCGATATTGTTGTAACACAGTGATTATGACATTCATATAACGTTACATTCACGAAAACTGCGTCATGCTACAATGCAAAATCAGCGTGCTTTTTCTCAGTAATGGCTAGAGCTTCACTAAATTATTCCGCAAATTCTTTTGGAGCGAAATGCTCATTCTTGATTATAATGAAGCACTTGCAATGGTGCTCCATAATAACATGTCTTACTGTGGTTCTGTGAAGGTAACAAGTAACATACAGTTTTTGCAACCTTCCCTTGCAGTATGCGGCTGCCTCATTTCCACCGAGTCCGCAATAAAGTCGGTTCAGCCTTGAGACTCGTGACATCCCTGGAGTGCGTTAGTCACCAGTTTTTTTACCCTTAAAATAGTCTTTCTCATGAGTCCAAAATCTTGAAGGACGAAAATAAGAAGCATGGCAAATCAAAAGCTGTAAAAGCTATTGTGCTTACACGAACAACTCAATGTATGACAACATCTAAAATGACAATATTATCAGCAGCAGTGCCTACTTACCGAGAAATGTAGGTAAATGCACAAGAATACATGCGCCGCAGTAAGACATTCTCAAAATCAGAAATTATCAGAACTTTATCAGAACTTAAATATACATCTTCTTTATCACCTCTTTCAGCTGAAGTTATCAGTTGTGATGTATAAGCTTTTTCGCGGTAATGTGCATATAGATGGCATTCTCGTGGAAAGCCTTGTAAAGAATAATATTACTAGGTTTTCTGAGCTTGATGACCGCCTTCTGCCTAAAGTTCGCACAAACTACGGCAAGTTCACTACCACATTTACGGGAATCAAGCTGTGGAATTCCCTTCCTTACGTAATAAAATCATCAACCACAGAACATGCATTCAAAACCCAAGTAAGAAATATTTTTGCAACAGTTCTCTTCATCTTAGCAACTGCTTTTTAGTGTAGCGATAACAATTTGTACATGTTATATTGTCCGGATACGTTTCGTAATATAACTTGCGCATGTTTATTCTTCAGAGTTTTCTCTTTCGCCTTGCTAAACATATATGCATTTTGTACTTTCGTTTTTTAGCACTGTGCTTTTTTTTCTTACTGAAGATACCGTAACAACTGAATGTTGTATATTTTGCTTCTTCTCCCGTTAACATCATGTATGGGAGCCCCCCCCCCCCCCCCGCCAACAGTTTCTAACTTTGGGGTTCCTTGTGTGTATTACCAATCCTGTACGCACTTTTCCATAAACTGACATTGTTGTTGAATAAACTTGAACTTGAACTAAATACCTATGACGCCAGACCAACCGCCTGCAATAAATCACTAGCAATCAATCTAGCTGCACTAAATAAAGAACCTTCCGTGCATAAAGAGACGCAATAAAATGCTACTTGTTCGTTTCTGTTTGATTCATGGAAAAAAGAACCACCAGACGTTACTATTAGGAATGGCACGAGTGGTTCGAAAATTCAATTTTTGCGTGGTTGCAGGTCGTGCCATCTAGCGGGGCGCAGTTCAACAAAACACGTCTGCAGTCTCGAAGCCAATAGCAGGAAATTGATGAATGGCCATTGTTGCTGTTGTGGCTCCCGCTTCTTTCATTCTGTCTACTAGAGTCGGTGACCGCGCCAGCGTTGTGCACGGCAACAGTGACGTAAGTCGGTGCGCTTCTAGAGGAGGGTAATATGAAGTGTGCTAACTCGATGTGCACCACTGAAACGTGATTTTATTTCAATATAAGCCCTTCCTTGGCACAAAAGTAACGCTAAGATACTTTTGGACCACTATTCAGACAATCGATGTCGACTTAATAGTTGTCTATAGTGTCCCTTTAACCCAATTGATGCTTTTTTTGCAGTACTCATATATTTAGTTTCTATCGGTGAGATCAACATGCTACAGCATCAGCTGATGCAGTGTTGGGGAGAGCTTACGACCGCGTTTCGAAGGGGACGTTGTCCAAGCAAATTTTATTCTAAAATTGGTCAATCACCTTTAATATTTTAGTTATTTTATTTTTAATAATCAGCCTCACAGTTCAAAATGGACTTTCTAAGGGTACCCGTACCCTTACGGGTATTACCCGTAATGTTACTCCTCAGGCAGCTCTTGTTTAGGCAATTTTATATCGAGATACTTTCTGAATCTTCTGACCCGCAGGCTGCGGCATGCAATCTCGGCCATGGTAGCAGCATTTTCGATAGAGACGAAATTTTTGAGAGACGATAGAGACGATAAAGACGATAGAGACGATAGAGACGAAAGCCCGCGTACTCAGACTTAGTGCAGCTGATGGTACACCAGACGGTCAAATTTTCCAGGCCCTCCACTACGGCGTCTGTCTTAATAATATCGTACTTTTGGGACATTAAAAACCTACAATCATTGACATTTCCTGTATCGTGTTTGTGCACGTCACAGAGATATGAAACTTATCCACCTAGGATGTCGCAGTCATGAAAACAGTCTCGCTTATGGAACGGGAGAGTGGTGTCTCGGCGTTTGAACAAAACGTCTGCTTAGGCTGCGATTCGAAAGAAGAATGACTCTCCTATATGTGAAGAGAACCTACACTACAGTGGACGCTGATTGTGAAATATAGAGTATTCATTCGGTGGTTGCTCGAGCGCGTACTGACCGCGTGGAGTGCCTCACGACGTAGCGTGGATGAGACCGGTGTAGCTCATGAACGCAGTAATAAAGGGCATAAACAAAAATAGAAAAAGTATATGAGATGAACACCATCACGTATGGGCCGAGACACTACTGAGAAAAGTGGGCGGGCCATGCAAAGGTCGCTAACCTCGAGTCCGATAGTCCTGTTGAAGAAATATGATGTGTGCCGGCCCGGACACGTTAGCTATTATTATTTTTGAAAACGCAGCCACAGCGACCATCGTTTTTTTTTTCGTTTATATTTATCGTTAACAGTGGTCGCGTCATGCTCCTTTTTTATCACGCGCCGATACTTATACAGTAAATCACCAGTGCATTGTCGATGCTGTCGCAGTTCCGAAACCACTGACAGAGTTTTTTCAAACAGCGCAGAGCTGGGACGCATGATAGACCACGCAACACAGGTTCTGAAAAATGAATTGAATGCTCTGGCAAGGAAAGGTGCTTGGCATAGCTTTTTTTTTTTTGATGCAACAATAAATTGGTGATGCATCTTGCTCACGGTGGCTGTCGCAATAAACGCGTGTAATCCCTGTGTAAAACTATGTACGCAAGAATAGCCACGGCCCCACATTTCACCCACTCCGTTGAAAATAGACTGCAATTCAACTTTTGTCAAATGAACATAAAGTAATCGTATGCAGTAGCGATGGATATTTTCGTTT